TAATATCTTATTTTATTACTTTTGTTTGTATTTTCTTATGGTTGTTTAAATTCAAGAACAATATGTCACTATTATAGAAAAACATGTTGCTATTATGGAAATGATATAGCGCTATTTTATATTTTTATGAAATTAAAGTGTTATATATATATATATATATATATTTGTTATTTAATTATGTGAATCCGTGGTCCTAAACCGATCTAATCCGTATTTAAATGGATTGGTTCGGATTGGTTCCATGATTTAAACGGATTGGATTGGTTCCAATTTTTCAAGAACCATAGATAACGGATTGGTTCTGGTTTTCCCCAAATCCGGTCCAATCCGGACCATGCTCACCCCTAATATCATTGTTTAATTTCAATGGCAAAATCGTCAATTTAATAAAATATAAACTAATTTGACAAAAATAAATGTCAATTTTTTTTAATTTTTAAAAAATTATTTCTACCTACTAAAAATAAAATTCTGTAAAATTGATAAAAATTAATAAAAATTACATGATTAATTTAAAAAAAATTAATTTTACAAGATCATTATCCAAACACATAATAAAAATTAATTTCATAAAAAAAATAAATGTCTAAAAGATTTATCAATTTTACATAATTTTATTTTTAGATTGTAGAAATAATTTTTACAAATTCAAAAATATTTATTTGACATTTATTTTTGTCAATTAGTTTATATTTTATCAAATTGATGATTTTACCCTTGAAAAATATAATGATATCTTCAATTATCCTTATTTAGAACAAGATTCGAAATTCAAGGTCAAATGTGTCACAATTGAAAAGTCATGGACCAAAGTGACACAAGTCCTAAACTATAGAGACTATTAGTGTAATTCACCTTATTTTTTTTCATGATTCCTAATATTTTTCTTATCATCAACTCATTCATGTTCAAGTATAGCTTCTTCAAGATCTTGGTGTTCCCATTCTCACTAAGAATTTTACCAAGGAGATTGTTCTGATATAAAGCAAGTTTTCATATTCTGATTATTATTCAAATAAAGACTTTCTAACCTCGATCAATTTCCAGTCTCCTTGAAATATTTCTTGTGAATCTATTGTAAAATTGTTAAGATTGACCAAACTGCAAATGCTAGGGCTTAAAATCCTAGAAAGATTCATCAAATTCAAATCAACAAACACCATCGTTGGATTATTCTAATCTGATGTGCAATTCGGTGTTTGGTCATTGGAATTCCAATTTCCCAATGTGCAATTCATCCAATGTGCAATTCATCTTGGATGCTTTTCTTGAACTCCAAAAGGTACAACCCCTCCGAATTCAACTTTTTGAGCTACAAATCAATAGAGTTGGGTGTCCTACAAATTATGAATTTATCTTAAACGATAATTTATGAAAAAATGTAAAATGTAAAATGTATTGAGAATAAATTATAATTTTAAATAATTTAATAGGAAGTACTAAGAAATTAAGGGCTGGTTTGGCAACCTTCTAAAAAGTCAAAAAGTTACTAAAAAAATTAAAAAGTTATCACTATTCACAAAAAAAAATATTAAAAAAATAATATACAAAAAATTTCCGTGTGTGCCCCAACCTAAATTGGATGATAAAGTTTGGCCCGTGGGGGCCCACCATGGGTCCCGTTTTGATAATTTAAACCATTCAATATGTAGAAATTGTCTAGTACTATATGTCTGTAAAAAATCATGTCTATCGGATATTGTTAACTATATGATCAAATCAGTGTTGTATAAAAATCAATGATGTTATAACTAATAGTTAACAAAAAAAAGTAACATGATCAGATAGCTATCGATATTCAATCACCGTGATTTTTTCCAAACATATAATACTCGACGATTTCTACACATTGAACGGTTCTGATTAGAAAAACGGGACCGTGGTGGGCCCCCACACGCCAAATAACACCATCCAATCAAAGCCTGAGAAGGAGACAATAATTTCTCATCAACTCCACAGTCCACTCCACTGCAGAGCACCGGCCTCTTACGCAATTTACTCTGAACACTTTTTTTTATACAATTTTTTTATAAAAAGTCAAAAAATTACCCCAAACATTCATATTTTTTTCCTCAACTTTTTAGTTTAAAAAGACAAAAAGTACACACACCCCCAAACAACCTCTAAATGCACTGAATGATTTTTTAAGTACAAAAAGAATCACGCTTATTTAAGATTTATTGATACTTCACTATTTTTTTCTTTTTCTTTTTCTTTTGTTGCAATTTTTTATAGTTCAAACATAACCCCTTTTTTTTTTTCCATTCCCCTAAAACATAACCTTACAGTACATATATATATATATATATATCTACATATTTATTTCAAATCTTCGTGGGAATGCATTATACATATTTATTTCAAATCTATAAGTGGGAATGCATTATGCAGTCTTTTTCCACACACACAAATATATATATAGTCAAATCTCCTTCCAAAAAATGGTATGAGGTCGTACTTTTTGATTTAAAATTTGAGAAATAACTTGCAGTGAGTACGAAACACGTTAAAGAAAAGTTTTAAAAAAATATATTAAATTTTAATTTCCTTAACTTTTTTCATTTTTATTTTTATAATTTTATAAACCATTCTTTAAATTTATAATACGTATGAATTTGGTTTTTTACTCATGTAAGTATTATTTGTTACCCAAAGTTCTTTTCACGCCTGAACTATGACAGACAGACTATTAATTAGACACGGTTTGAGTCAAGAAACAGGTTTATCATAGCTAGTTGGTGTGTCAATTCATGATGTTTAGTTTGAAAACTTACTACAAACTGGTGAGGAAAAAAAATAAGGGAATTTGATCAAAATCTTTTTATAATAAAATTTTAAAATATTAAGAATAAATATAAAAATAATTTTTAAAAAGTTTAACCCATATTATTATTATTAAAATATTTTTAGTAACTAGTTTAGGTAATATTTGATAGGGGTTGGCTTCTCTTCGGTCTGTGATCGAACTGGAAGGTACTGTTGGGCTCTTGGAGGCCTACCACGGGTATCATTTAAATAATCTGAACCGTCAATATGTAGAATTCATCGAGTACTATATACTTGTAAAAACTCACGTTAATCGGTTATTCATAGCTACGTGATCAAATCAGTTTTGTATAAAAAAATGGACGGTAAAAAAATAAACGGTTGATAGAAATCTGATCCGATGAGATAGTTATTGATATCCGATCAACGTGATTTTTTACAGACATCTAATACTCGGTGAGTTTTACACATTGCACGGTTCGGATTATCGAAACAGGAACCCGTGGTAGGACCCCACGGGCCCAACAGTATCATCCAGTCCAATCACGGACTAGAAAGAAGCCCAACCCTATTTGATATTCTCTACAAAACTGTATTTTTTTTTATCTTTTTATTTTTTTTGAGTCACATTACCTATCTATTTTTTTGCACATCTTTTCGTAAAAAGTTAAAAATAATACTTATTTAAATCATCCCAAACACCCTCTTAATATTTTAAACTTTAAAATGATACAACCTTTGATCTAAATGTTCGTTTTTAATAAAATTAATATTTTTAAAATTCTCTCATCAAGATCTATCAAAAAATATCAAGGTTAACTATGAAATTCTTTATAAAAAAATAAAAATAAATAATTACAGTCGAAATTGACGTAAATAGTAATATATTATTCTGTTTCACAGTAACATGTTACTCTGGTTGACAGTAATAATTTACTATCTGTTCTGAACAGAACATCAGCAACAAAAATATAGTACGACTCTCCCTGCATATGAACTCACACTGCTTCTAGAAATTAAAACCCATACATACTCATAGAATAATCAATCACAACTTCAAAAATTCTCTGTGTTAATAAAAAATGGCACATCGTAGAATATCAATTTACATAATCAATTGATACGATAAAGTTTCCACCTCTTTCTCTCCATCAACGGTTAATGTCTATGAAAAGTATGAAAATGATAATAAATTCAGAGCAATGAGGGATCCCTCTCCTTAATCTGTCTTCTTCTCCTTCTTCTCTCTTTTCATTAATCTATTCTGCATTTTTCAAAGAGATCAATGAAGAAGTTTCGACTCTCAAATATATATATATATATATATAAAGAAATATGGAAACATGTTTGTTTGTCCTTTAAGAAGAACTCGCTTTTTGCTCGGGAGATTTAGGAAGTAAAACATTATGGATTGTCTTTTAGACACTAACATGTTAGGTTTAGGAGGTTTTGGCTAAATTTAAATAAATAAAATAAAATAATACCATATAATGGTAATATAATCTTCATACATGTATCTGATAATACAATTTCGGTCTTTGGAAGGGAGTCGAGAATTCCTTGCCCTGGAGAGGCAAAAAACAGATTCAAATTTTAATTATATTTAGATTTTAGATTTGAGTATGAATTTTATGGAAGAATAAAAAAATTGACAAAAATAATAGCCAAATTGTCACTTTTTTCTTTTCTTTTCATTTCGTTCTATAAATTCATATTCAAAAATTTAAGATTCAAACATAATACTATTGTAACCAAATTTGTGTATCTTTTTTAAATAATGTATAATGTGTTGCAAATATTAATTTAATTTATACTATCTCTCATATTTTATACAATAAATTAGTGATACATCATATCATATCTAATATTTGGCATTCAAATTTAGTCCCTAGTAGTATCATCGAGTAGAGTTAAAGTTCAAAATCACCTCCATAATTTGAACCATTTATTTTATTTTATTTTTTTTAAAATCATTTAGGTAAGAAATCAAATTAATCAAAAAAGTTTCATGATTCTCGTAGTAGGTTCAATTTATCAACCGGAGACAATCCAACTCTATGGAGAAATAATTAACCTAACAAAAGAATTAAAGAAAATTAAATACAAAATATTGTGAGAGAAAGAAGTCAGCATTCAACAGTCAACCCCTTTGAAAACATGGAGCCATTTGTCATTAGTAGTTAGTCTCTCTCCCATTTTCCATGAAAACCCAACAGCTCACGCAAACAACACCAAGTCACATACACACACAACCAAAAGAAAAAAAAACTTAGAACTATATATGTAGAGAAAGAGTTGTTCCATCCCCACTTCAGAGAAAAACAAAACAAAAACAAACCAAACCAAAACAACCACTACCCTCCTCCGCCGCCGCCATGGTTGTAGGGCAGTGCGAGAATTCATTTTCCAACCCTGCTTTCCCATGTCCTCCATTCTTTCCAGAATCAGAACGAGAATCAGATTCAATCCCTCAATTGCCTCATCATACGAATACTCCAAAAAAATATGATCTAAACAATAAGATTATGCTCAGTGCAATCATCTCTTTATCGGTTGTGGTTGTGTTCGTCACTATACTCCACTTATACGCAAGATACATCCTCCGTCGCCAAGCACGCCGTAGAGCCGCCATTCGCCAGCTAGCAATGGTGATTTCCGAGGTTCGTAGCGACCCTCCAAAGACCGGGCTTGATCGGGCTGTCATCGCCTCTCTACCCATATTTGTCTTCAAAAAAAGCGACGATTATTCCATTGGTAATGACGAGACCGGGCCACCGGAGTGCGCGGTTTGTTTGAGCATCTTAGAGGATGATGAAATGGCTAGGCTTTTGCCTAATTGTAAGCATACTTTCCATGCAGAGTGCATTGATAAGTGGCTTAGTTCACAGTCAACATGTCCTATTTGTCGTACTCAGGTGGAGCCAATGCTTCTTCCTGCAACCGGCTGTGAGCCGGTTATTGCTGGTGCTTTGGCTCCACCTGTAGAACGTGTCAATTCTACGTTGACGAGCGTGGAAGAGACATCAAATGGTGGGTTACAACAATCTTCTGCTAAGGCTAGTGGATCAAACTCGCGGTTGAGCTCTTTTCGAAGGATGCTTAGTAGTGATTGTTCTCTCAATGGGTGTAGTGAGAGTGAAGATGAGTTTTATTACTACACCCTTATTTTAGACGGCACACCGGCTAAGATGAGTAAATTGCCCCGAACAAATGTGAGTTTTTCTTCTCCTTCTTCGAAAAAGTCATCCAACCTGTTAGAGAAAGGTATAATTCCTTCTCTCTCTCTCTCTCTCTCTCTCTCTCTCTCTCTCTCTCTCCTTTACAAATATATGATTTTGTTTTTCTTAATACAAACAAGTACATATTACAAATGAGAAACATAGATGAATTTCTCGATTCCGGTCACCGGCCGGGGAGATTAAATTTTCAGATGGGTTAGGTGCAAGAGAATAGTGTATGATGTTCACAGTATCAGATTCTGGTATGTCATAAATTGTTTTGTTTAGGTAGTCAAATCATACAAAAGACTTTTGGTGTTTGGTTACCTAAATTGTTCATACATGATAAGGACATAAGGAGGTAGGGTGAGTCCCATGCGCACAAGCTACAAAGGCTAAAGTTTGGGAAGTCTCAAATAATTCATTTTTTTATCTTTTTATTTTTTTTTATCACATCACTTCTCTATTTTTCTATACATCTTTTCATAAAAAGATAAAAAGTACACTTATTTAGGCCATTCCAAACAATCCCTAATTGTACACTTTATTTTTTTGAGAAATTACAAATTAGTGGTACTGTAGTAGAATATTTTTATTTGGGCGTCAATTCGTAATTGGATTGGATTGTATTGTTAGATTTTGTAAGCCCACCGTGGAACTCGTATCGATAATTCGAATCGTTGAATATGTAAAGTTTGTCAAATACTTCATTCTTGTAAAAAATTATATTGAACGGATATCGATAATCACTTGATCAAATTATATTACTGTCAACGTTGAGTATGATTTTAAAAAAAAAAATTATTAATAGAAATGTGATCTGATCAGGTAGCAATCGATATTCGATCAACTTAATTTTTTACAATAATAAAATAATCAATGAGTTTATATATTAAACGATTCAGATTATCGATGTAAATTCCGTGATCAGCCCACAAAAGCCCAACAATTTGGTCCAGTTCGAAACCCGACCAGAGACAAGCATTATCCTTTGTATTTTTATAGTAGTGCAAATTTTTTAAACACATGGTGCAAGTCTTTTTTGGGCTAGCTACAGGCCCTTTCTGTAAGTCAAAATTGCACCACTTATCTTTAATGACTTGTTTTGAAAAGTAGGCAAAAAGCTAAATTTTCTGTTTTTTTACTCTTTTTTAAAAAAAAAAAAAAAAAAAGTCAAAAAAAGAAAAAAAAAAGATAATGTAATCTAAATAAATTAATGAACCCTACTTTTTTTTCATGTCCCAAAATGTAATTACTTTTTTACTGTCTCACTCACTTATTTACAATTTTCCCTTCATTTTTCAACCATTTGACCCAATTATTTTTCAACCATTTGACCCAATTATTATTCAGAAATTGAAACACTGCATACAGACAATAATATGTTGAATTTTAGGATTGAAAACTTAACTATATGATGAATTTTATGGGAAACACTACGTATATATCTCATAAAGAGGGTGTACAATATACATTTTATAATTAAAAAAATACATCATAACTAAACACAACATTAGACATAATTAAAAAATTGAGTCGTTCTAACTAAAAATGAAAATTAGTCATAATTAAAAAAGAAAATGATATAACTAAGAGTGTATATGAAACATCTCCTTAAGGTGTGTATCTTATAATTTCCTGAATTTTATTTAGTGCAATAAATAAGCCAACAATTACTATAAATTGCTTGTTTCAGTACATTAAGAAAAAAATGTTTATTTTCAATAAATAATGTTACGGTAGTACTACATGCACTAATTAGTGTACAAACTAGTGTACCAATTGATAATGTGACATAGTTTAAGAGGTTTTTGATATTTGTAATTTGTATAATAAGTAGGGTTAATAATAATACAATAACTATTATTAATACACTAATTGATCCATATAGTATTATTCATAATGTTATGATGATCATGTTTTAAATACCACCACTATGTTTCAAAGTTTAGACACGAAAGTGTTTACAGTTCTTCACGAAAGCGTCTACAGTTCTACCCGAAAAATAAAACTAGGAAAAAAGAAGATGAAGAAGAAGAAAGCTCTTCCGGATTAGTTGAAATGAATAACAATTTTTTTTTTGAGTAACGAAGGAGAATTTATATATTTGTTTTCGATTTTTTTTTTCTCTTTCTTTTAAACCCCCTTCCAATTAAAAATAAAAACTAGAAAATGAAGAAATAGAAAAGTAGACTGCCCTGCAGGATATTGATAACAAAGCTTCCAACTTAGTTGATCAGTTCATGCCAAAATGAAAAGGAAACAATGAAAAAGCGAAGGAAACAATTTTTCATGGATAACCTAATCAAATATATGCAGGCTGCCCAATCTTCCAGAGTCCCAACACAATTTATTTGTTTGTCACAGCGAAACTTACATCATTGAAGCACATCATTCACTTCTAAATCAACAGATATGGCATAGTCAGCCACAACATGTTCCACATTGAGGGGATTTTAACTTGTAACATGTCAATGGGAGAGTTCCAAACAATGCAAACTGAGAGAGGAACCATGCTTAAATGGATCAGTCAAGACCCTTGACAGATTCAAATGGGTTATAAAATAGGGAAACAAATGAGAAATCAAAGTGCCAATTGGATGACACTACCAGAACTGGACTACTATTGATTTTGTTCAATGGATTCCATAGTGGACTACCAGAAGAAATTTCATTAATTGCAATATAATCTTCATAAAAAAATTTGCAAAACCAGTTCCGAATACCTACTTTTTAACTTCTCAAACAAAAACATTTGCTTTTGCATTGGTTGGTTCTAGGTTACATACAATTGAACAGCGGATGATTTTAACAGTCCTCAAAAAATCAGTGTAATTGCATAGAACAAATGAATGGTGACCAAGGACAAATACCATGTACCAGCAAAATAATTGCCACCACTTATATCTGCACCAGCAGGGCCAAATCCCACTGCCGTTGATGACCCTGTAAAGCTTCCATTGTTTACTGCAAAGCTGCATTGCCAATCGGTACAAATTATATAAATATTTAAATCAATATGTTCAAAGGAAAGCAAAAAACATTGAAAAATATCTGAATTCTTATATGGATATTGAATAGTCTGCATGATATGAAATGAATTAAACGTAAATTAAACTAACGTATTTTTTTCTAGAAGAACACATCGTGTCGCAATAGTGTGACCACTACACAAATTTTGTGGTCCAGATATCTGCAGACTATCTGGTCTAAACCCAAAACTTCAAATTTTGATAATCCACAAGAAGTGTTTTAATTTTGTGGTCTAAACCCAAAACTTCAAATTTCAAATTTTGATATCTGCGGACTATCTGGTCTAAACCCAAAACAAGAAGTGTTTTGAATTAAAACAAGAAGTGTTATGTAGACCAAATTGACAGAAACCGATCTGCAGACTAAAACTTCAAAAACTTGCATCATTTATGTGGGTTTAAACTTGCATCATCCACATCTCACAAAAACTTCAAATTTTGATAGTCCACATAAAGTTCAAAACAACTAAACAATAAGTGTCATCATCACCCAGAACATCATCACCATCATCATCATTGGATTTATATCTCTCCACATCCTTGTCTTCTGCCTCATTTAAACTTGCATCTTCCCATTCCTCTTCCTCATCTACAAGTTGATGCAAAACTGATAATCTAGAACCAATTGGTGTTGTCCTAGATATGGTTGACTAGTTCTTTGGCTACTTTCCTTGACATGTCTTCTCTATGTGACTATGTTTGTGGTTCCTCCTCTAATGGTCAGCTACAATAGGCAACAAGTTACTCCCACTGTCCCTAGAAGAGCTTGGGAAATTTCTCCCTCATTCTCTACTAAGCTACTTGGAGCCTCATGTCCCACTATCTTATAAAGCTCTAACCCTCCACCTTTGCTTGGAATTCATGCTCGAAGAAATCCACATCTCGTTGCTGTCTCGGTCACACTTCCATCAAGTTTCTCACTTATCAATACATAGCCTTTGACGTGCTCTGGTTATCTAATAAAGATATAAATATATCTTACTTCTAAAGCATAACTTCTCACACTTGTAAGCAAGAAGTGTCATGAAAAAACTCCGTTGAGCCCCAAGGCCCCAAATATCCCAAATCAGCTTTTTCGTCAATCCATAATTCATAAGAATTGGAAGCCATTAATTTTGTCAACACTTGATTAAGAATGTAGGCCACACTCAAAAGTACATCCCCCAACAAGATATTAAAATATTTGCCTGCACCATCATTTTCCTAACCATATCTAACTGTGTTTGATTTCTCCTTTCCTTAACAACATTTTGTTGCGGCGTACCAAGCATCGTTAAATACCTTTTAATTCCTATTTCTTCACAAAGCCTTTTATACATATGAGAGAGATTTTCACACCCATGATTAGTCCTAGGAACCTTGGCTAATTTCCAACCAAATTGTTTAACATCTAATAAAACAATCAAAAGCTTCAAAACTTATCACATTGGGCCTTGCATATGGTAACTAAGAAATGACTCGAAAATCTTACAATTTCAAGAATTTGCATGATGGGATACAAAATAAATTTTAAAAAATGACCAGCCTAAATAAGTAACTACTATTATGTGTATACTCAATTTACATGTGCTTCTCTTAAATTACTCAAAAATCAAATTGAAACAATTGAATGAAATACATATTATATACATATTCATTGTATAGACAAATGCTAGCACAACACGTGACACATTATATAAATGTAATTAGATATACAACCAATCAATTTACCTGGATGGGAATTTACAGCTACCATGACCTGAAATCAAAAACTAAAACAAAATTAGATAAAAATAAAAAAAATAAAAAAAATTCACAAAATTCACAAAATTGATTTAAACAGAGGAGGTTTAGGTTTAGGGTTTTAGAACCCTTGACAAAACCCTAAATTGTGAGCCAAAAACTCTTACTGGGGTTGAGAGAGGTGAGAGCGGCGGTGCCGTCGAAGTTACAGCTGTCTTGGGTCAAGCCATTCTTGAGGAAGTAATCATTGAAAGCATACGACGCCGTTCTCTGTACGTCGGCGGGGTCGTAGCAGGGCCCGCCTTGCTGGATGGGCCCGCAATCTGCGCCGCCTGGGCCGCAGGCCCAGTCCAGGGCTTTCTGGAGGGCGGAGTCTTGGGCGTTGTTCTTGCCGACGCACCAGAGCTCCACCCTCACTGCTACGCCGTTGGCGGCGGCGATGGTGGATTGTTGTCTGACGATAGGCCGTAGCTGGTGGATGGTATGAGGATCAGGAGATGCGGTTGAGAAGTGGGCTGTTGTGGTGGTGATGATGATGAAGATAACAGAGAGGAGGAGAGAAAGAGGAGAGCACATCCATCATTGCTAGAGAGAGAGATTGTGATGGTGGAGGAGGGTTTTTATGTGGAAGCTAATGTGAAATTGTGACCGTTTGTGTATCGAGAAGAGAGAGAGCGCGCGCGAGAGAGAGAGTCTGCAGTACTGGGAAATGGTGCAGCACTGTTATTTTTGTGTTTTGTCGTTTGTGATTGTTAGTGTATTTTCATTGGAATTTTGTGTTACGGAACTGAAAAGGTGTAACAATGGCGGAATTGTCTGTTTCTGATTCTAAGGCCTTGTTTGTAACATGTTAATTTAATAATTTTTTTAGATATTTGATTAAAATATGAATTAAAAAAAATTAATATGTATGAAATGATTTTTTAATTTTTTTTAAAAAAATATATAAAAAATAAAAAGAAAAAAAAATCTTTAACATTTAAATATAAATTAATAATTTTTTAATTTTTTTAATAATGTTTTAATTCTTTAACTAAACGGATCGCATTCCAAACTACGCCTAATCCGTTCTAAGGCCTTGTTTGGAACATGTTAATTTAATAATTTTTTTAAATATTTGATTAAAATATGAATTAAAAAAAATTAATATGTATGAAATGATTTTTTAATTTTTTTAAAAAAAAATATATAAAAAGTAAAAAGAAAAAAAAATCTTTAACATTTAAATATAAATTAATAATTTTTTAATTTTTTTAATAATGTTTTAATTCTTTAACTAAACGGATCGCATTCCAAACTACGCCTAATCCGTATCACACTCGTTTCTTTTTCTTTTCTAAGATGAAATTGCATATTCATTCTTTCTTTTTCCTTTTTTCATCTTGAGATCTAAATGGAGTGTTACAGACAAGATCACCCAAAAACAAAAAACAAAAAAAACTAAAAACAAAAACACTTTAAGGGTCCGTTTGAGAAGAATTAAAGTGAAATTTTTTTGACTATTTTAGTCACAAAAGATAAAATAGGCTATTTTAGTCACAAAAAACAAAACATCACATCCAACCCATAATCATTACACTATTCTCTCACAAAAAAAGTCAAAAAAAGTCAAAAAGTCAAAAGGTCCTTCCCAAACCAAACTTTTTAGCCCAGATTAAAATAGTCAAAAAAAACTAAAAAGCCAAAAAACTAATCCACTTCCCAAACGAAAGCTAACTTTATACTCTTACTAGGTGGGTGCACACAATTTAACATACTATTATTTAAATTTAAAAGTAAATTTGAAAATTTAATTTTTAAAATTTGAAACTGCGTGAGGAACGTATATATAGGTGTAGGAAAAAAAGATTTTTTTTAATATTATTGTTCAATATACACGTGGTAAAAATTTTAAAAGATCAAATTTAGATTTTCCTTTATATAATAGTGTAGATAGTTGTGGAGATATATTTTCTGAGTACCAACACGTGGCAAGTTGACGCCGACGTGTCAGCCGAGGTGCCACATGTCTTGGTCGTGACGCCGAGGTGATCTCAGCAAGGCCGAGGTTATCTCCGAAGATATCGGAGTCCGAGATAAGTGGATAAGGGATAAGAATCCTAGAATGAAAAGGGAACTCAACCTGGATGAGGGACGAGAATCCTAGAATGAGAGAAGACTTCAGTTTGTATTAAGATAAAACTCTTAGAGAGTTTATTCTAATCTTACTGGGAGTCCAAGTTTAACAATAATCCTGAGTCCATAGAAGTTAGGCTTCTATTGGGACTAGGTTTATGTTGGCTATAAAAGAGAGGCACCTCCATGGGTCTAAGATATGCTTTTGATACTCAAGCTTGTGAGTTTAGCACTTGATTTATCTTTGAGAGATATACTGACTTGATCGTCGGAGTATCCCCGGGTGGTTGAACCACCGCCGGAGACTTCTCTTTCTGTTGCAGGTTAGCTAGAGGCCATCTATTCTCCCGGTGTTCTCCAGTTGAGTACTAAGTTGGCAGTGCGGTCAGAAAATCACCCACAATTTGGCGCCGTCTGTGGGAAAGAAATAAGAATAGATGGCCAATGACGGACAGAAAGATCAGACTGGAGACAACGCTCCTGCTGGGAATGGGAGATCTATCAACCTCGACGTTGAAGGGGACAATAGCAACACAGAAACTCGTGACCAGAGTCACAGAGTGAAAGACGCCGGCCAAGAAGGTGACGCACCAAAGACAATAAATCGAAGCGGATACTACAACAAAGATGACCTCCAGGTATGGAAAGATAGATACCTGCGGAGGAACGAAGACCCTTCTAGAAGGGATGCAAAGACAGGGGGCATGACCGCTCCCAATGAGATAACATTCAAGTATAGAAGAACTCATCCTGAGTGAGTAGATCTCGGATTCCAGATCCCGGATCCTTGAAGACATGATCTCGGCCTAGATGAGTAGGTCCGAGAAAAGAAGAGCTCAACCTGAGTGAGCAGATCTAAGATTCCAAAAGATAAGATCTCGGCACCTGAGTCCGAGAAGAGAAGAGCACAATGAGCAAATTTCAGATCCCAGAAGATAAAAAGAAAACATACAAGGTCAGACTGCAGTTAGCCAGGTTGAAGACCTTTTATAAGGTCCACAAAAGAGCATGTGAAAGCCATGTAAGGGGCAGAGAGAAGAAGAATGCGTTTACCACTTGTTGAAATTTGTAGCAATTTACAAGTTGGTTAAACTGATATGATACTTAACGCTTGTTGAAATTTGTAACAATTTACAAGTTGAAGTTAAGCCGAGATAATTGTTTATCTTCACTTGTTGAAATTTGTAGCAATTTACAAGTTGAAGTTAAGCCGAGATCATTGTTTACCTTCACTTGTTGAAATTTGTAAGAATTTACAAGTTAAACCGAGATGATGCTTAACCGAAGTTAAGCCGAAGATGATACTTAACCAAAGTTAAGCCCTGATGATGCTTAACCGAAGTTAAGCCGAAGATGATGTTTAACCGAAGTTAAACTGAGATAATGCTTAACCGAAGTTAAGCCGAGATGATGTTGAAACTTGAGAAAAGTTTACAAATTAGGTTAAACCGAGAAGATGCTCAAACACTTGTTGAAATTTGAGAAGAGTTTACAAATTGAAGACTATGGTTAAATACTTGTTGAAATTTTTTGAGCAAAAATTTACAAGTTAAACCAAGGTTATGTTGAAAGAAGTATCTACACACTTGCCGAGGTTACCATATTGCCAAGACTTGGAAGAAGTTTGAAGACAGAAGTCTTGCTAAAAGTACAGTATCAAGTTGTAAATAACACTTGTGGAAATATTATGATAAATATTTTTCAAGTATTAGGTCAAAACCGAGATAAACTGATTAATGGGTACAACCGAGGTGTTACACCCCGAGGAGATTGCACAGTTAAAGGTGTATGTTGAAGGCAGGCATATGACTCAGGTCTGCAGAACACTAAAAGCACACTTAGAAGATCTGATGAGGCAAGGCAATCTGAAGGGACCTCGTCGATGAGACCAGAACAAGGAAAGAACAGGCAAAACTGCCTCGGGCGCCAGCAGGTCCGCCTCCTCCAGCATAACAACCTCAGGCAAGAAGACCTCGGGTAATTAATGTAATTCACTCGAGGGTCAACGAGAATGAAATTAGGGGGGAGACTCAGAAGGTGAAAGCACCTGGAACATGTCTAGCAAATCGGGGACAAGAGACATCAGGCAGATGAGTACTTGGGACCAGTAGTGTCTTTTACCGAAGCCGACCTCGAGATGGTGTAGTATCCCTCCAGGTTGGGGAGTGCCAAGTGAAACGTATCCTGATTGACCAAGGAAGCTCTTGTGACATCATGTATGTCCGATGTTACAAGGAGCTCGGCCTTCATCTAGACGATATGGAGCAACCTAATGGCCCAATGGTTGGGTTCAATAGAACACCGACATGGCCACTGAAAGCAGTAAGCTTGGAGGTGCAGGCTGGCACCAGAAAGATCACAACAGAATTCACCATCATCGACACTACATCTCCTTACAAATCTTGGGAAGATCATAGTTGCATGCAATGGGGGCAGTTCCCTCAACATTGCACCAACTACTGCGGTTCCCAACAGAACATGGGATTGAAGAAGTCAGAGGGATCAACTGCAGGCGGAAAATTGCTCCATGGCAGCAATGAAATCCAATTGTAGCATTCGAGAACTAGAGAAGGCAGAGATTGAAAACGAGGACATAGAGGTCCTAGATGATGGCGGTAAGGATCCAGCCAAGAAGAGTGAAAAGACATTGAGGAAAATCCTCGTCCAAGAGGGGGATGAAGAAACGCTTCTTTCTTCTCGGCTCAGGCTTAGCCGAAGAAGAAGAAAATGAATTGGAAGCTTTTTTAAGAGCAAACATTGAGGTATTTGCTTGGACACTTTACGAAATGCCTGTCATTGACCCCGAGGTCACTTGCCACCTCGACAGGTCGGCCAAACCTGTAATCCAACGAGCAAGAGGACCGACGATTGATGCACGTTGAAGCAGTAGAGGAAGAAGTAGGCAGACTTCTGGAGCCCAGAGCCATTTGAGAAGTCAATTACCCGACATGGTTATCAAATACAGTGGAAGAAGGAATGATAATCAAGGAGCAAGGAATGTTAACATCGACCAACAACCAACATTTTTCAGAAGCAAAAAAGGTTACATATGCAAAGAAAACAAAAGTACAAGGATGATGACCTTAAGAACTAGGGACTAGGGTAAGAACGTCGGACTAATCTACTTCAACGGTTGGCGGTGGTTCAACATTGGCAGTCAGCGGGGAGAGCTTCTCTACCATTATCTCGGCAACAATTTTAAGAAGGGACGTGGTTCTAAGACTATGTAGAAAACAGAAACGAAGGCAAGAATCTGGAAAAACAACAAGAAAAACAAGAAGAGAAAAATCAGAGTCAAGAAGACGACAAAGTTCAAGAATAAAGCCAAGTGCACAGGCACTAAGTAAGTATGTGAAGAACAAGAAAGTAATGACCCAGACACGATGCTAGCAACAGAAAGCGGATATGGCAAGAACAGTGCCAGGCGTTCAAGCAATTCAAAACTTGAAAACAGACGAAAATAGAAGACAACAGGGGGCAAGAAAACGGATTCAAAAGAGTTATGAAAAGATTGAGCTTAATAAAAAAGTGAGAATTTATGAACCTACCAAATGAACGCCGATATGAAGATCGCCGGAGTCAAATAGGTGACTGGAAATCAGGAAACCCACCAAAGAGTGTGAACATATCGATGAAGGATTGGGGATATTTTTTGGAAAGAGAAAAGTTTTAGCACAGAAAG